TCAAAAAAAGAGAAAAAAAAATAAAATAAAAAAAAAAAGCAACAACAACCATTTGAAGCGAATTGCTGTCGACACCGTTCATTTAGTCATTCATTCAATCATTCATTAACTGTGTGTGCTAAGAAAAGATCTAAGAAGTCAAACGAGTTGGACTAAAGTGCGGCACAAAATGCTATTGACAGTAAGAGCACGTTTTTCCCGTTTGAAAGGCCATGGAATTGGGTTTACAGCTAAAACAAAAACAACAACAACAACAACAAACGTATTAAATAAGTATTATCCGTATATTAAACGAAATTATAATTATGCATAAATTCGATTCGACATTGAGTTGCGTCTTTAAACTTGTGTTACATGATAGCTGGACTCACATTTCCCCTCACATTCCTTTTGCTCCCAACTTCCGAATAGCAAGCGAGGTTTTCGAATGATTTCAAATCTTTTTCTTATTTTTTGTTTTTTCTTAAAACTGAAATTTATTTATTATATGCATTGAAATTACCATCACTAACCTTTTATACTTGATATATATGTATCGAATGTACACCCATGTCCCGGAAAATGCAACAAAATTGCTAGAAAATTCACTTTGACAGCATTGTCATGACGCTTTTAATTTGTTTTTTCTTTTACTTTTTTTTTTTTGCTTTTTATATATTACCATCCTTCCTATCCTTCTATCCCCACGTTAGTAAGTAGTTACCCCTTTTTTTTTTTTTTTTTTTTTTTCTGCATAGCTAACCTCATATTTTTAGCTGTGTTTCCTTCTTGTGAATTAAAGGCTACATCTCACTCAAGCTCCACTTTTAGATGCCATAGTTTAGCTAGTCAGTGCTTTGCTGGCATCCATATGCATGCAGTAACATCCCACTATATGCATGCACATCCAAGCTCTTGCTGTGCATAGTTCCGGTTACTGTTGCTTTTACAGTTGTTGGTGTTGTGTTTTTGGTTTTTTTCTTCTTCATTTCTTTTTTTTCTTTTTTTTTTTTCTTTCATTCTTTCTTTCTTTTTTGCTGTATCTCTTTAGTGTAGTAATTTGTGCACTCAATGGAAAATTGTTAATTAGATTCCTTTTGGCGTGTGATGATTTTGTGTCGTATTTTATCTAGGGAATCAACTTTATGCTAAAGCTAAAAGGTAATGAACAGAGAAGAGCAGCTTTATGCTCTCGCAAATAAGGTTACAAACACAAGCAGTATATAAATTTATTTACAAGGCAGACATTTTTCTTCTCTAATTCCATTTTCAAAGAATTTAATTGGGAAATAATAAAGTGTAAGCTGGGATAGGATGCGATTTGCTAATTTTTTTGTTGACTCTTTTTATTAAATGAAAGAGAAAAGAAACAAAAGATGAAGAAGAAATTTAAATCAAATTTTGTATTAAACTATGTACTTTCTTAAAAAGTATTTCGAAAAATTAACAAACAAAATGTGAAAAAAAGAAAAAAAAAATTAGTTTTTCTAAGAATAATTCAGTCAGTCATCCAATCAAAATTCAAGAGCAAATACTCAGATTAAGGTGAAATATTATTGACAAGCTTTTCACTTTACAGAGATTTTTTAATTTATTCTAAAGCAGAGAGGGTATGCATCCAATAAAAATGCACAACCAAATAAACAAAGTTCTCGCTTCGGGGGAAATCTACTCTGGATAATGAATTATTGTATAAAAGTTTGTTCACAATTTTGTTGATTGATTTTCTTAAAGCATTTTAGTTTTCAATCTCAATCTTCGAATTTACGTCTACGTCAGTGGAATCACTGATTCGAATTTTGCCAATATCAAAATTAATGCATCTGCCCGTTGTTGTTGAACGTTTCGAGGCTCCGCTGATAGGTGTACGTGATACGATTTAATATGCATAGCATAACTATCGAATTCGTTTATTTTACTGACGCATATTGTTCGCAAATTTAAAAGTGTATAGTAAGTAATTATTCAATCAAGTGAAACGTTATCGCCGGACAAAGTCTTTTTCGCTTACTGCAATCCTTTACTCCTCTTCATCTCACAACTTTGCAAGGCTTAATCCTTATAACGATTTTTATACGGGAAAACGTTCCGAAAAATACGTTCGCGTGATGCAGACTTACTAATGGAAAATCTATGTTAAATTACTATCCTAAAAACAACATCCGTCCATCACCATCATTTTTTGTAAAACTGTTTTCATACAAACGGTTTTAAAAACTGATCTCCTGATACCTTAAAAAATTTTCCGCTTTCATTTAGTATGAGAAGTGCTTCTGAAAATAGTCCGATTGATTGATTAGTCAATCAATTCAGTTCGTGATGCGATTCTGAATGCGTTAGTATAATAAAAGTTGGATTGCTTCAAAGTTCTCCCGTTTCAATATAACCTCTTTACCGGTGAAGTACGTGGTGTATGATATGAAAACTTGCGAATATTGGAAACTTCATGTAAACCATATGTCAGCCAGTTTCTATGGGTAATATGTGATTGAATAGTCAATTATATGACTAATTCAGATCAAATTATTAATGGGCAAAATACTTTACAAGCAACGGATTGCCAAGGGTCAAATCATGTTCAAATGATTGAAATGTTTTATTGGTTTTTTTTAATTTTGTAGAAAAATTTAACAAAAAAAAAAAAATAAATAAAATAAAATTCTGAAAATTGTTTGGAAAAAGTATCCACAAATTGAATCCTTTCCATTTTTTTTGTTTTTTTTCTTTTTTAAAGGCAATGAGATAGAGATACAAATATTTTGCACATATAATGCAACATATTATTAGCGTATTTTGCATAAAATTACAGAAAAAGTCAAAATGAAAAAAAAGAAATAAACAAAAATATATGTTGTTGTAGCAGAGAGAGAGCTTGAGATCATCCACATGTTGAAAGCTACGCAAACAACATAAAAACAGCAAGGCAGCATTAAAAACAAAAACGACAACAACGACAACAGTAATAAACATAATGCGCGTATAACGCTCGTAACCCTCAGAACAACCACCATGAATTAGTCATTTTATGTTAGTGAAGCATGCAAAGAAGTATTGGAAGTGTTGTGTTCTCCATATATATATATATATATTATATATATATATATATATATCAATGTATGCGTGTGCATGCGTGTCCGTTCATGTGTGCCTCTGTGTGTGTGTGTGTGTGTGTGTGTGTGTGTGTGCAAGCGTGTGCAAGCGTGTGTACATATGTGTATATGCGAACTTAGCATTGTTGGGTTCGTTGTTGCTTTTACTGGCTGCTGGTAAGCGCACAAACGCAAACTAGGCTGTCAGCAAGCAGCCGCTTGCATTGCCATAGTGAAAGTACTCTTTTTTCCTTCTAAAAAAAAAAAAAAAAGAAAAGAAAACAGGAAAAAAAAAAGCAAAGAGACCAAAAAATATAAAAAATGGCGCACATTATACGCGTTTGTGGTCTGTCATTGCGTTCTGTTGTGTACTCTAGTATAAAATAACAGCTTAAAAGAAACTTGTACACATACAAATATATATATATATATATATATATATATATATATGTATTTCATGCACTTTTGAGCAAATTAGATTTTATACTAATTAAATTTTACTCTAAACGCGCACCCAACCGCATGTATAAATAAAAAAAAAAAAAAAAAAAAAAAAGAACAGAAAAAGTGCACATATACACATATACCGAATATAAAAAGAGCAAGTTCAAAAACTTGCTGAGTAGCACCGTTAACCATTCTTCCAACCAAACAGCCAAACAAACAACCATCCATCCATCCATCCATCCATCCATCCATCCATCCATCTATACATTTGGCAAAGCAACCAAGCATCCATTCATATGACTCGGGCATCATTGCCTGCGTAACATTAAGAGACGGCAGCAACGTCAACAACAGCAGCCATATTGTGCTGATATGTTTACATGTAGTGCTTAAAAGTATTCTCTGTGACTAACTTTTATAATTTTACAACTCAAACCTCTAACAAGCTAACAAAGAAACTCTAACAGGCGCAGCCACAAGCCCAAGCACAGGCGAAGTCACAGGCACTCAAAGCATTATGCTTATGTGAACTTGGCTGTACAGGGTGCTAAAAAAAGCACACACACACACACACACACACACACATAGATGTCTCAAAAAATTTGACCGCATTGCTAGACTAGCTCAGTAGCAGACTAGCTAACTAACTGACTAATTCCTAGCGATTAGCTAATCCGCCAGTTGTCGATAGGCACTAGTCCGTTAAAAGTCGCTCAGCATTTTGCACTCACTCTCACGTCCAACCATATCATTTTTATTAAAGAGTTTTTCTTATTCCTATTTGAAGAAATCATAAGTGGCCTCACTAAACAGCGTCGCTTTCCTATGTGTTGTGCGTGGAATGTTAATGAATTTATTTATTAAACTTGCAATTTATTGTCCTTGTCCTTGCTGTCCATCGCGAATATATATAAATTCGAACAGCATTCAAAAGTCGTTTTAAACGTTCTTTACTAACACTACACTAAAATTGCTTGTATTTACTATAAAAAGCACTATATGTATGTATGTAAAGTAGACTCCTGCCAAACCCATCGCAAGAACTATATATATATATATATTTACACATATGTATATATGTAAATGCGTACGAGACTTGAATTAACTACGAAAATTTTAATTGCTAATCTGTTCTATGCACATGTTTACACGTCCATGTCTGCTCACACAACTCACTCACTGCTGATGATGAAAAGTTAAATGTCGTTATAATGATGAGTTTTTAGTTGAATATAAGTGAACAGACAATATTTTATAATTATAACGGTTTCGTGGAGATACAGAAGATCGCTATTGCTTACGATAGAAGAAAAAAATAAAATGATGTTTTTTTTTATTTTATTTTTTTTTTTTTTATTATTATTATTATTATTATTTTTATCAATATTATTTAATTTTCATTTTAAATGGAAAGAACGTTAGAGGAGGAGAGGAATAAAGAATTAATTGTTATCTCGAGATTAAGCAATATATTGTTGGATGATTTCTGGCCTCTATATATAGAGTGCAAAATATTCTACTATAGCATAAATTAATACGCATGCATACATTCATAAGTAGCATGCAACCACGTACAAGGCAACGCAAGTCTTTACTCTAAACACATCTTTAAACATAAAACACATAACACATATATATTACATATATACATATATATATATATATGAGTTATATAGTCTCGCTTAATTGTATGCGTTGCTTGTATGTATTTTGTTTGAAAATTAACTCGTTTTATATGAAATTGTTAATTAGAGAAAACAATAATTACACACACTGGCAGGCGACATACGGTTCCTTGCGTTTCCTCTTAGACTCCTTTGATTAAATATTAAAATTAAAAACTAAAAGCAGAAGCCTTGCGCTTTCATATATAATTACAATTTAATTCAAAATTTCACATTCATTGCTACACTTTTGCTTCCTCTTTTTTTTTCGTTGTGTATGTTAAATCTTATTTTACTGACTGGAATTGGTTTACACCCAATGAAAGAATATAAAGGACAAAACAATTATTGAGTACATTTCACAAACTAGTTATCTCGCAATCATCATTATTCGCGATAGCTGCTGATGATGCGCTCTGATCGTTTTGTTTTCTCAACTTTACAACGATGTAACAAAATCTAAAAAACAAAAAAAAAAAAATATTGTTTTTTTATTTATTATATATATAAAAAAAAAAAAATAAATTCAAAAGCTTTGAAACACTCACATGAACACTACGATGTTGGTTATCGCAAATATCTCGCTAACTAAGAATATTGTGCCGGGAAAAGTATTCACCGTGCTTTCGTATATATGACTGTAGATCGGTGTAAATATTATTTGGACAATTGGTTGGCAAATAGCCAAAAGGGAAAACATTTTACCTGAAAAATAAAATAGCAAATGAAAGCAGAAAAAATATCAGTCGTACAAATTCGGATTTGAAAGTCGGTCGAATGACTTGCCGCTCAAGCAGCTACAATCAAATTCCGAGCTGCTATACACTTTCGCAGTTTTTTTTTTTTTTTTTTAATTTTTTTTTCTTATGTTGGATCTATTTTTACTAGATCGACACAGTGTTATACAATTCGCACATCTATAGTCATCATGACTTATATGAATTATTTATTGCATAGCAAGACTTATGGGTGACAGAGGTGGCGGTGCAAGAATTTCCACCATTCGATCCAAATTTTCTACATTCATTCAATTGATTAAAACATCACTTTCCACTGCTTTTTCTTCATCAGAAAAATATTAGTTATCGTAACTTTGTTCATGTAACTTTGTTGTTGTTGGTTTTTTTTCAAAACATATCATTTCATAAAAATACAATCTATTTTTAAATAGGAATCGTCTTTAAGACATATCACGTGATTGCATCACATTTCATTAAATAAAACAACTCAAATTGTGCAATATGTAGGTTGAACATAAAAATCCCTGAGACAGACAGACAGACAGACGGACAAACAAACCAAATCAATTTGAACTTACTTAACTCTCCCTCGTGGACAATGGCGGAGCCAATTGTTTTAATAGCTATAGCTCTAAGCGACACAAACATATCGGCTACACCTCCCGCGTAAAAAGTGATCGTATTCCTGGAGAAAGCCTACGACAAATGTTTGTCGAAAAATTCAATATAAAAATGTATTTCTGTTCTATTTGTTCTATTAGTTTACTTACGAACAAAAGTCGGGATATAGCTGTAGTAAGAGCTGATATTATACCCAATAGAGCATCAGAAAATTTAAAGACTTTACTAAAGATGGTCGTACCGATGAAGGTGCCTTCAAAAGTGATCGCATACATCGCATTGATCTCATCTATGCTATCGTTAAAACGAAATTAACTCACCTACCAAAGCCAATGCTGAGTTAAACGTTGAATAAATACTATAATCATTTCCGTTCCAATTAAGCTGCAAAAAAGCGAAACGATTCCAGAAATCAAGCTCCCCATAAACTGGACCAATAATGCAAATATAAGCCAGTATTAGTAAAAGGAGAACCATGCGGCCGTTATTTGGTCGCTTAATGCAAGGGAACCGTATATAATCCAACACTAGAGTGGGATCAAAGAAGTTTTTCAGCCAATAAATGCCTTTCAAATGCTTTTCATTTGGTTTAACTTCATTTTGAATGGCCTTTGCTTTATCCACGTTGTCCGCATTTGTGATCTCATAAGCCGTATTATCAATGCCCTCTTGTCCGGTAACAGCAGCCGGAGCAGATTCTTTCTCTTCCTGGGATTTATTTGCCGACTTTAAGTCTTTTATTACAAATATTACATAAAGCAAAGCCACAATATTAAAGCCAAGACCCATAGCAAACGATACTGTAAACGATAGAAAATTTATGATGAACGAAAGCAACGTTATACGAGTAAGAAGGAAAAAGAACTTACTAACATAACCCAGGTACTGGAACAAGAGACCACTAATTGGTTGTCCTATAAATATGATGGCCGTTGAAAACATTCCGAAAATGCCAAATCTGCAGAGTACGAAAAGTTAAGGGAAAACAAAAAACAAAAAAAATTGGAATAAATAATAGCGCGTTACACAATCGGTTATATTAACATTATCGGTCTATTTAACATTAGAACTTACTCCATTACAGGGTGAATCAAAACAATTAATTAATTTAAAAAAAAAAAATGATTTCATTTATTTTTATTTAACGATTTAACGAATCGTGATAGGCTTCGTAGGTTTATCATTATGTTTTATGTTGAATTAAAAATGGCTCCTCGTCTTCACTTACTTACCTAAATATGCGATCTTCGGCCGGTGTCGATATTGACATGTAGCTGTCAATTGCCATCAATGATAACGTTTGACCACCGAACATAGCCGGCACTATAGCTTCAGTATATGCACCAAATTCCATAGGTATTTTATCGAAAAACATCGCCGATACAAGGAGACCTTTCGTTATAAGATGTACACTTATTTATTAATAATTAAATTTTCCTCCTTTAAATGTCGGTAAAATTGCTTACAGAGAAACATAAGAGACTCTCCTATTAGAGGCATTAGCATGCATGCTTTACGTTTATTGTAGCGATCGGCCCAACCACCGGCAAACAGAAGAATGATTAAAGGAAAGATAGCGGCTAAAAAAGATCGTGTATAAAAAGTGTATAGAAAATTGCACGAAAAAAAAAATAAAGAAATTTTCTTTTCAATTTCGCTTTCATTAAACACTTAATAGAGAAGTCATAACTGTTACGTTAAAGCATAGTTAAATTCGGGATTATTTCGCGATTGTCTCTCGGCATACGAGTGCGTTTAATATGACATGATATTTGAGAATCGTTTTTGCTACAGATATGAAACGGGGAGAATTAACATCGAAGATGCAATTAACAAATATATTCTGTACGAGCAGGCCCGTTAACGAGAATTGTATCAAGCCAATGAATCTGAGTGTGAAAGTGTAATGCAAGGAAAGAAAATTTTCAATAGAATTAAAAAACATTTTCTATACAAGAAATTTTATGTAACAAAGTTATCTAAAATTCTCACACTACTACTACTACTACTACTACTACTACTACTATGAATGCGAAAGAACACACCACAAAACACACACATTGCCTAAAATATCGTTTATAACGTTTGTATTCACTTTCCGCAAAGATGAATGTTTTGGATTGTACGCGTATCCGTGATCAGTGCCAAACACAGAATGCCAATCTGTTGCTTCTCTTTATCTTTCCGTTCAAATTTTGTAAGATAACTCAACAGTCAGCACTCAGCAATCAGCACTCAGTGTTCACGTATATTTCGATTAAATAGACTTTCGGTAATAAATTCAATGAACGATAAATTTGGTTATAAGAAAATCTATGCATATCCAGGAGATGATTAAAATGCCATAATAAGCAATTAGTTCCAGGACTTGAGTTCGTGATTATTTTTTCACCAAAATGCGAAACAATTTTTCAAAAAATTTTCAGCGCATTTTTTTTAAACGATATATGCACCGTTATGATTGATAACATTCGGCAATTACGCTACGTCCATCACTAAAAAAAAATTCTGCAAATTTTTAAACGAGAAACTGAATTAAATGATTTTCACTGACCTCTTACGACGTCAAGTCAACTTTAGACCTTTAAGCGAATTCTGCTGAGAGTGAAACAAATAGCAGTCTGATGTGCCAAAGCACGCTACAGGCTACGCGATGAATATATCAAGTTTCGTCAGCCAAGGTCAATCAATTTCTGATCTAACGACATTGAATTTTCTCTTGACTGAATGATTGATTGTTTGCCAAACCTTTGCTTAATTTTGCATTTTAATTTGTGTTAGTCGGTCACACATAGAGAATTCAATCGCATCTCGAGATCTAGGCCAGTTCAGCCAGTGCTGCAGTTCATCATACTCGAGCATCAACTTATCTTATTGAGCTTTGTCGCTGTGCCTGCGGCTTGGTTCATCTTGGGCCACGATTTTTTTTTCGCACATTATTGACCTCATTCCCAACGCCCGTTATGCACCCATTGAAACTATATTAAATATCGTTTCGTTTCATTAGCGTTTTACAAAACGGTAATACACAATCTAACAAATACTTTCATCATTAACTGATATGATAATCAAGTATTGAAGCGTGTTTTCCTTTAGCCCTCCCTTTGCTTTTATTTAAAAGCTTCCCTCCCATAGCAATGTTCTAAGCCGAAGACAATGCATGCCGATCTTGGTTTCATTACCTTTCCGAACTTGCCGATTGGCCACGCCAGTGTGTGGCGTGCGTGTCTTCGGGAGGGAAAATGCACTTTGCTTACTTTTAATACGACATCTATTTCCGCACTCACTCAACACTGTAGATTTTTTCACAGGAAATTATAGCTAATCGCCACGTTTGAAGGACTCTTGTAACTTAAATATTCAATAAGCAAACATATCTTACGATATTCGCTTTTTTCGCTTTTCGTTTCTATCATCTATGAACTATGAACTTTTCGCGCACACCAAATACTATCAAAATTTAGGCGAATCCATTATCAGCGATCTATCGTTCAAATCCATGCTTGTATAACCTTTTGCAAGCATTTATAATAAGAAATTTACAGAAAAGAAATTTCAAAATTTTTACATCTTCCCCCGCTTTTTAGTATTATTCGGCACTCTATTACAATGCACTTGCTTACGTCACATTAATAAAAATATTTTTATCGCTATTAATAAATAATGTTCATCATCATCGTTCGTTAACAGCTCAAGGCGGCTGATGGCGTGAATTAAAAATATATTTCTCATGATTACAACACATACATACATACATACATACATACACACACGACACACACGACACACACTTTGGGATGCGCAATAAAGAACGAAACATCCAGCAACGTATCTTATAAGCATTTTTACATTACATTTTTTTACAAAACATTTTTTTTTTTTTTTTTTTTTTTGCAAAATTTCTAGAAATTTTAATGCAATAATTGTTTGCATATACATCAATTCTTACCGATCGGTGCTCTCTTGCCTGAAATATTAGCTGCAAGTTTTTGCGCGCCTTTCTCCGCCTTACAGACCGTATAATTAAAACCAATCGATAATGAGGTAAAATTTCGTTCTTCTATTGTTGCCGTAAAATCGTTGATATCTTTAAAGTCGAACGCATTACCGCAGCTCACATTATAATGGGATTTATCTAAAGTCGCGGCGCACACATCTTTCGCGTGAAACAAATTAACGCGACAGGCTTTATCCAAAGGAAAGCTAACGATAGCGATTGCGTTAAAAACGCTGGCCATAACATAGAAAAAAAAATATGGCTCAATAATTAGGTAACGACGGAAACGCCAAACTTTTTGAATATAATTCAATTTTCCCGCCTTATCACTGTTATTCGAATTATTCTCCGACATTATTGCTGCTATTATTCGATCCGATTCTTCTTCTTCTTCTTCTTATAAGGATCTATCGGCAGACGTTGTTCTTGTACGCTTGTTGCTCGTCTTGCGTAATGCGTGCACACAAACGTTTTATTCTTAACTAAAATCTTAGAAACAATTGTTTACCCATACGTTTGATTTTGCGCACAATATGCTCAGTTTTTTTGCTCTTCTGCACTTCTCTTAAAAATGTATTTACAATACAAAAAGTTAAGCTCTAAAAATTATTGCATTGTTCTTGTTGTTATTATTATTATTATTATTATTATTATTATTATTATTCCTTCTTTAGTTAGTTATTATTGGTATTTTATATATATATATATATATATTTTTTATATATATATTTTCTCCGCACTTATCCGCGAAGATCGCAAAAAACAAACGAGTATCAATTACATGCACATATCTACTAGCATTACTAGTCAAACATGTTTAATTTGATGTAGCCGTTAATGTAATGTTGTTGTGATTATATTATATTAGATGCGAATAATTTCATAAATTTAACGAGTGTTTTTTTTTTTTTTATTTTTTTTTTTGTTTTGCAAAATACCACTGAATATTAAATGTTTCGCTTAGTTTTTTAACTTGAGCTATTCAAATCGTCAAGATGAATGTATATCTTACTTAATTATATAATTACATTAATTACTTACTTAACTTGAATCCCAATTGGCATTCAATATTTTTGCACACACATACACACACACACACACACACAATCATATATATATATACATTATATTTTGCCGCTGAAGAGATGAGCATATTAAACGCTAGCAAATTGTTTTCGAAGAAAATCGAAATTGAACGCATTCATCATCACACATCACCACTACGTATAGGAGAATGTATTAAGCATGAATTTGTTATTTGCAGAAAATCAAGCTCTGCCGTTCGACTTAAAGCAACTATGTATTTTCATATATGGCTCTCTCTTCATTTGCATAGACAATAGTTTGAATGCCTAAGTAATATGCGTTAGCATTTTACATTTACCTAAATTAAGTTTATATCCATTCATTGGGTAATTAGCATAATACCTTTGCTCTTCAGGGTATGACGGCCGTTCAATTTGTTTAGTTTGTCTCGTGAAATGATTTTCTACGACCCTCTTCCGATTAATCAAGGCTCGCTTTTCCTAACACGTTTTAATAAAGTCTGTCCATCTATTCGTCCGCCTAACATCAAACATCTTTCCATACTTTTCGATGTCTTTCACAGCGAAATATTTTCACGAGTCCTTTTAGCAATTCATTCCAGGGGAAAATCTTTTCGGAACGCTATCCTAATAAGGATCTATTTTAAAAAATGCACAATTTCACAATATTTGGAATTTTTTTGGAAAATCTCATCTCATCGAAAGTTCACGAAAAATAGCATTTGGGAAACTTGAACGAGACAGGATTGTTTTTCGAATTTTCTCTCACATTGTCATACTTGCGAGAAATACAGTTTTCTGTTATATGTATATATATATATATATATATATATATATATACCCTACATCGCTTGTGATAGAGGGCATATTAAGTTTGTGCAGGCGTATGTAACATGCAGCAGGGCTCGAAGCAGACCCATCTTTTAGTATACCGATCAAAATCTGAATTGAAATAGGTTTGTCTGTCCGTCGGTCCGTCGGTCTATCGGATGCCCAGTCCATGTAAATTTGTGTACACTGACATATACCCAAGAGCGAACGCTATTAAAAATGGTTTGGATCGGTACACTTTTTCGAGAGAAAATTGCAAATTTTCAAAATTTTTCAACAAAAATTTTTATGATAAGTAGTAATACGATTTCGGCATTCTTTTGAATCCCTCTAAACTGGTGTTCGTATGCCTAAAAATCTAGTTTTCAATGCTTCATGATCAAAATGAGATCATTATAATTTAAGATAAAAAAGTTAACTCTAATAAATTTCGACCAACTGGATGTATTTTTTTTTTTTTTTTTTTGATTCTATCCTAATAATAAAAAGTTTTAGAAAAAATTCTTGCTTTTACAGGCCGAGAAGTCGAAGTTTTACAATTTTATGATGAAAATTGATCTATAATAACACTTTGATATAAAAATTTACTGTTGAAAATTTTTCAACCACTTAGGCATAACTATTCTTATGGAAAGTAAGACTTTATTTATAAAGAGCTTTAGATTTGAATATGCGTTTTATGATAGTAAGTAACGTGATATAAAAACAGCGGATAATTTTTGTATTCTGTGGCATAAGTATAAAAAGTGTGTTAGAAGTGTCGGCCTAATCCGACTATAATATTTTCACACTGTTTATATTGTATTAAATCCTTGACTTTGTATAAAATCAACTGAAGTGCAACTGTCCTTGAGTGCATATTTGATAAACATTTGATAAAAAATGAGGAAAATTTTCAGATACATTCGCTGATTGAATGCTGGAATTAAACGAGGAAGGTCATGGTTTTTGAAGCAAAAAAAAAAAAAAAAATTCGGACAGATGGGATGTATTTTCATCTGTTTGCGTATATTAGTAAGTAAAAAGCTGTTGTGGATTTCGACGCGATTGTGATTCACACTTTTTTGAAAACGGGGCTAGATGGACCGTGAATGCATTGTGCATGTATGCATAACGGGAATATATTGACTAAGTTCCTTTGACCTGACGTCGATGTTATAGATGTAGACGATGCTTATTTTCAGCAGAACTTCGCCGTCTAGCATACAATTGGTTAGACAATGACTCTACTGCGTAATAAGCTTAGAATTTGTTGAAACTCATTTTATATATAATAGCAGCATATAGTGTCACCTATTTCTTTAACGGGATTTTGATGCATATGTCATGCCTGCGTTAAATAAACACGTCCTAAGTGGCATATGATCTCAAATGAATTATTTGGACTCTCGTTAAATTCAAATGAATCCTTTAACAGGCTCATTGATAACCCGACAAAACCTTAAAAATTATTTACTTACTTACTTAGTGCTGTTTATATAATAGTAGTTCCACGAAGCGTCTGTTTTTTCAATATTTCATCCGTAAAATATTCATGTACATGCTATGCGGCAGCAATAATTTATTCTCGCAGCGCATCAATGTGCAAATGTTGTTGTCAACTTCTTCGTGAGCATCTTGCCTCAAGCAAATGATTTGAATCGACTTTGTAATCAATATTTGATTCCTTAGCCATGTCGTGGTTGTTGATCATTTTCGATTTTTTGTAAAATTTCATCGACCAGCGGGAAATGCATCTTTAATATCGAAATTCTCAAAATGGGAAACAAGTAAAGTATCTACCTAGAGTTGCATTTCATAAAGTATCTCTCTCGTAAACACCGTCGCCTTTCTTTTTTTTAACCTATCTTGATTGTTGAAAATTTACGAGATTTTTTTTCATAACTTCTGAGGAAATACATAACTATTTTCAAAACTAAGTCAAAATTAATATATTAATTTGCAAAGGCTCGTCAAAGTAACGTGTTGAACATTGCCCGGGATCGGATACCAAACACCATCTAATGACAGAAATCTCTCAATATTTCTTCCTGTAAAAGGGCTGGCACATAGTGTGCCTAGGCGATCATAGACTCTCACTTACTTACTTAAGTCTACGCAATGTTGTTAAATACTAAGCAAAGTAATGAAGAAAGTTATAGGTATGCCGTACACTTCAAGCAGAGTTGAGCGGAATTTCTGCTTTTGTTTTATATATGAAATCCGCTTTCCTTAAGTAAAATGGCACATTGGCGACAAATGAAAGTTGGCAAAAGCTATAAAAGGCTATAAGTCATTATGAATAAGTGGTGTCGAGGAGTGCCACGAAGAGTCATAAGTAAATTTGAGCAAACGATCAGCAATAGTCTTGTGCATGCAAACGATTCTCTTTCACAACTTTTTCACAATCATCATCGAACATATTGGCAATCACATAGCTATCTATGCTATGGAGCATTCCTCAGCCTTCTTAGACCGTGGTTGCTGATCATGAGGATGAATTTCATTGTTAATGGTCTGCTTTAAGTCTCAGCCACGCGTAACTTGAGAAGAGTTTTTCGTTTAGTGTTTAAATACCCGATCGTACCTAAACTGCCTCCTCTTTCGTTTGCACAATGTTGTTAAGTGAACAAACAGTTTGCATATTGAATTACATGTACATCGACAACTATATGCATTAAAATCTATGCGTTTAATATACAAAACTAATGCTTGTCTATTGAATGCTGTAATGTTGCTTGAAGAAAGAGAAAGAAAAGAAAAAAAAATAAAGAAAGAAAGAAGCGCGGTTCAGAGGTTCAAGTACGGAGAAGACCTGAGAAAATGTTTGTGTGGAAATTTAATAAGTTTTGTAATTTTTTAAGTAAACACAAAGCAACAAATTGTTGACAGCTCGTGAGAGGCTGTTATCTCAGCACTTAAATATTATAAAAATAAGCAGAAAAGAGGGGAAAAAATTTTATGAATAAATATTTAAATTTGCTTTTCTCTCTCTCTCGCGCGCGCGCTTGCTTGCTCGCTTTTTTTTTTTTTTTTTTTTTTTTATGTTAGAAATTCGTACAAATTTTAAACGAGAAAATATTTTTCAATGAATTATTTCAGGTTCGCTAACACCTAAAGACTTCACTCTCGAGCAATTCAACGGCTTTGGGAATAAAAAGAAAAAGAAGAAACGTCGCCACAGTCGCACAATATTCACCAGCTATCAGCTAGAGAAACTCGAAGAAGCCTTTAAAGAAGCTCACTATCCCGATGTCTATGCCCGTGAAATGCTGTCGTTGAAGACCGAATTACCTGAAGATCGTATACAAGTAAGTGCGAAAGTGCGAAAGTAAGAAGATTGAAATTTAATACTTTTCTTACACTACTACCATCCGAACAATAATAATGCGCTCAAGTTGAAAGGACATAATAAGAATAATGACTAATTATTTGTGTGCTGTACGTTGATGTTTTAAATAACTAATACACACAATGCCCATCTAAAGTTGAGGAGCATTGTATTACGATTTCAAGGTGTTTTATGTTAGCAAACAAATGAATCCTGTTTGCCTTGAATGATTATTATTGCTTTTGTTGTTATTGCTTTTGTTATTATTATTATTATTATTATTATTGTTATTATTATTGTTGTTGTTGTTGTTGTTGTTGTTGTTGTTATCTCTATCTTATGTTGGGGCTTTCAAAAACTTCCTGTTAACGTCGCGCTAAATTAAAATGCATTTAAATAAGGCTTATGTGTATTTGTTTAGATATATTTTTAATGATTTTTCACACCTTACTTCACGCAGCCTTTTGAATTATAATGCAAAGAATTTTGTTGAATATTATTTAAAGGCAAATATTTATATTTAAACATTTCATAATTTTATGAAATCATTCATACTTCATACGTTTCACGTTCACTTCCCTCGATTCATTTCGATTCATTCTCCTCTTCTTTCCTTTCTTTTCTTTTCATTTTTTTTTTTTTTTTTGCTTTTTTCTTCTCTAATTTTATTTTTCATGGTTTTTGCTCAATTGCCATTTTTATATACCATTAGCGGGAAACAATGCCATTATATTATTTTCAAACAAGTAGCTTATCAGGCAACAGCCATTAGCTCTTGTGGTGCAATTTTCCTGTGCGTATACTACCTCATCCTGTTTATCGGTCTCTCTCTCTCTCTCTCTCTCTCTCTATATATATATATATATATATATATATATGTATGTATATATGTAGATATTTATATCTTTCTGTCTCTCTCTCTCTCTGTCTCTCTTTCAATATCTGTCTTTCTATCTATCTCATATATATATATATATATATATATATATATATATTTATATACATACGCACACCTAGGATCATTGCAGTATATGCATCATTACATCAATAAGATTTCTTCCTGCTTGCCGTTATTGTTGTTGTATTTCTTGTCGTCATTATCGTCATCACCAACCACATATTCATACAAATAATTGAAAAAAAAGGAGAAGTGTAAATGCAATGAAATGCAAAATAATAATAAAAAGGAAATTCAGCTCTTTTGCCAAGATACCCTGCGGGTTTTATTATGTTTGCTCTTGTATATATAAATACATATAAATCAGCTCCAAATTGCTAGACGAGTAAAATTACAATAAGAAATTATTGAATTGAAAAAATTCTCTTTACAAAATGTTTTGAAAATTCTTATAAAACTTAATGCAAATCAAATTAATTCAAATAACAGAAGAAGCTTCGGCTTCGGCATCGGCTTCAGAAATTTAAAAAAACAAATAAAATTAGAAAACAAGTAAGAAAATTACATTCGGCTGGAGCCGAATCCCACCTACCCATCACCATTAAACACTTTAGCGCATCATGCTTTCACTTTTTATTTATCTTTCGTTTACTTCGCTAAAAAGTATTGCTAGGAAAAATCAATCTGACGCATCGCGACGTCTAAAACTTCCAATCTTCCTATTAAATTTGGCGTCGATATTTTCATTTCTGCGACTAGGAGAGTTTCGACAACACACGCCACACAGAATTCAGAATGCTATTCAAGAATATATTCTGTGTAGTTGATAAGGTCTCTGAAGCTTCCGTTTAGGTGTTGCAGGCATTATGACAAAATGACTGGATCCTCCCCATCCCTTAATGGTGCGTATAATAAATAAAATTAAAATAACTTTTCATTGTTGACCTCATAACCACTCATTATCCGTGTATGTTTATGTGTGTGTGTGTGTGTGTGTGTCCCGAACTTTTACACGATTTTAACAAACATTGAAAGCAAGTATATAAGAGAGCAAGTATATATGTGTGCCTGTGTGTGTGTGTGTGTATGTGAGAGTAAGAGAGAGAAAAAGAGAGAATATAAAATTAAATAAATTTTTATGCTCGCCTGGTCACAAAATTTTCCATTGATTTTGAAAGCATTCGATTTCCGCTCAGATCGGCATTACCGAAGATAAATCAAAAATTTTATTCGGAATCGTTCGATGACACGATAAGATACGCTGACATTAAAAGAGTTTCTCCAAAAATTGACTTATACGCAAAGCGAAAGTACTTAGCCCAAAAACACAGACTGCGGAAAGCAGTCTGAATCAGTCTAGACAATCATCATTATTCCGTCAAGGAATCACTTATTTGAGCCAGGCCATGCTTTAGCTTTGTAATACAAAGTTATGCGGCCACCATATTATTTCTCACCTCTACTAGGCAAGACGTGGTCTTTCTAAGACCAAGCGCCCAATTGCACTAAAACTTCGCAGGCAAGCACTTACTACCGTTCACCCGAATTTGAATATAATCAAAATCATCGCAGAACTTTTCGAAAAATCTTTCGCAAATGTCTCTCCCTACTTACTAATCGTTATCGGTAATCCATGATATCAGAATATCTCTGGCGGTAGTTGCACCAGCATAGATTTACCGCTAATCAAAGGAAAAATGTCGATATTTGCCACGCCCATGGTCTTCGCTAGTACAAAGACTTGCCTGATCGTTCGGCTGTAGAGAATAGACGAACTCTTCCTATAAGTTCCCGGTTATCGGGGGTCGTAGAAATATAGGATCTTCTCTATAGAGTTGCCATTTCCCGTCGGGAACATAACGTCCTCCTCCTGAAAATGAACATCCATAGCATTGATTTCAGGGCAAAAGAAGAAGCCAATTACTATCGTCACATAACGTATCCATCCGTTCACTGTCATGGTCAAGCCAGACGCATTTTCTAAAAGGTATGATCCAATTACAATCACCCACCCAATATCCGCACTAAGAAATCACTCGTTATGATTGGAGAAATTGTTTACTTACTTGCCTTCGGTTTTCGCAAAATCCGGAGGAAGCAAACAGTTTTCCTTGTTGACGTACCCAAGGAGCTAAGACTGCACCTTATCACGCAGGATAAGTTTTTCGCTTGAAATATTGTAATTTTTTTTTCTTTTCACATAGTTCCAGTATGTAGCTAAAATCTTCCTGACAGTTGTTTGTCAAATGCCATCCCAAAGACATATTGCATGAAATCGCTTATTAGAAGACCTTGTATTCGGGAATCTTACATGAATATATATTGCCACACCTACATTTTGCGATTTTCGATGAATTCGTTTAAGTCAATTCGACCTATTGCCGTATAGTAGCGTATAGCTTTTAGAAACAAGTTACACGCATTAATTGATAAAATTGCTTGTCATAAAGATATTGAAAAAAAAAAGAAAAAAAAAATGAAAGGAACTCGCGTCTAGTTTCGCCATAAAGACTTTTTGGTTATTGTTTCGTCATTTTCCTTTTCGTTTATTTTTTTCGAGAAGGAATGGCCTGATTATTTAATTACGATGACGTTGCGGTTATGCGTGTTGACAACTTGACTGATTAGTTGCTTTATGATAAAATTGCATCACTGAATATTAAAATGGATTTAATAAAATAAATGCTGTTTTCTTGTTTGTTTGTGCGTTCTTTTTTTTTTTTTTTTT